TATTAGGCGCCTTTCTCTGCGATAAATTCCGCACTTACCCTACGCTCGGCATAACTGAATTAATCGCCTCCATACTCACTTTAGCCATCTGGGTCCCCTCAAAATCTCTCGCCCCCATGTTCGTCTACGCAGTCCTCACCGGTCTCTCTTCAGGTTCAATAGCCTCCGCCCTACCCCTGGTCGTTTGCCAATTGTTCGGTCAAGCTCGTCTACCAACTATCCTAGGTTGTATCCTGGCAGCTGGTTGCCCGGCCATCTTGGTAATTACCCCGGCTGCTATAAAGTTCTCAGACCTGTTGAACGATCACAAAAGTACTGCGTGGCTAACTGCTATCGCTGGTATCCTTTCTCTGGCTGCTTCGGCTCTAGGTTTCCTCGTTCATTTCGCTCAACGACAACGGCAAAAATCCACCCAAGAAGAGGAAATTACAAACTAGAATAAAAAATAAACAATAGCTTTTACATTATAAATATAGAGAAAGCAGTTTTTGAATAATAAAATAAAATTAGAAAAAGAGTACTTGAGCTACATTCATCTACCAAACAGATGGTTTGCAAAAAGTAGATTCTGGAGGACCTGGGTATCGATCCCAGTGCCTCTCGCATGCTAAGCGAGCGCTCTCCCATTTGAGCTAGACCCCCAATTAAGCTTATTCTCAAGTTTTTTAAGCCAATTAAATCTTCTGTTTTTGTCGTGCTGTGAACCGATTGTGTTGTTCATGGCATTATTCTTTGTGCGCCGCTCAGACATTTTCTCTGGCTGGCGTATTTAATCCCCTTTTTCCCCGCCGCTCAGACATCTTTTTCTGATTGGCTTACATATCCCTCCCCATGAGCGGACCGATCAAGCTGAGCTTAAACCGGTTTCCTGCTTCCCTTTCCTTTGTGCTTTGTACCCTGGTACCAGCGCACCCGCTTAACGACCTCATTAGAAAAATTTTACTAGTCATTTCCGTTAATAAACTTGAAGTCTTTTTCAAAGTTATTTATTTGAATCCATTAAAACAAAAAGAAAGAATAATCGATTCGGATTTAACCAGTACCTAAAAATGGCAAACGTAGGCGGAATTTCCCCCGCTCAGATGACCTTGGCAACCCGGGTCCAGACCCACGACCCATCATTTTGTCATGGACATCAACAGAGAAAAGCAACGATGCTTGGAGGATGCACGGAATAGACCACCTGATGTGGTAGCCACAGGACAACATAGATAAAATAGTTGTTTTACTAGTAATGTTTTTGGTTTAACTTTGAACGATTATTTGACATTGAACTCTGAATTTATAGTACTTGAAACGCTTCCGATATTATTTATTTATTTATTTATTAAACAAGCAGATAATTATTAAGACCGTAACAGTTTGTAGTCAGACTTCACTGAAACACAGCAAAGTCAACAAGAGGTCACTAGAATAATGCAGAATCAAGCGCTTAGAGGAATCGGTGCTTATCAGAAATGTTTTAGACAATAAATTTTTTATACTCAAATGTTTATCAAAAACCAAAGACAGATCGGAAAACTAAAATCAGAGATGAAAAACTTGTTGTTCAATCCCAATAGCCCAGAACAAAAAGACACAGCTTTTATACTTGTCTTTAGCGATCCAAGTGTGGAAACAAATGAAGATAAATGCTATAGATCGATAGCATTTATAGAGACATAGTGCATTCATTAAATGTGACAGGTGCTGCGTATAACCACTGGAATGTCACTAGTGGTTCTATTGGCTGTAGCAGGTGGTTCAGACATAACTGGAGCCAACAGAGGAGGGTCAAATGACATGATGGTAGGCTGTTTAGCATTGTTGTTGGTATGTTCACCAACAAAATCACATTTAACACATAATGTGGCTGTTGTGCTATATTAGTTACTTTCGAGTTTTTCTGTTGTCAATTATTTAACAAATGATTTAAATTAAAACACCTGCAAGCTATAGCTAATAACACACATAATGTTTATCATTACATGGTTTTTAAATATAAAACACATTGATAAATACCATCATATGATTACTAAAATCTAATTAGTGCTCATTCATTCATGGCTGCCATTACTAGTTGACTGCAGAGAATAGAAGTCTGCATGTTTTTCTTAAATAAATTGCTAAAGCTAATGGTACACACAACATCAGATTTGTGGGTGAGTTTATTTCTTTTGAAATAAAGGAAACCCTAAAAATAGAATCCTCTTTTATCAAAGAAAAACAAAGAAAAGCAGCTGTCTCAATGTTTTTCAAAGAAACAGTTAACAAACAAAAGAAAGTACATAAGTTATTGTAGCAAAGCAAATTCATAAAAAGGAAAGAGTTTCAAAGAAAAATTATGAATCAAAGGCAAATGAAAAATAATTAATTAATTATATAAAGCAAAGCAATTGCTAGTTGCTTGCAAAAAAAAATTTTACATGAGACAAAAGCTGCTAGCTTTCAATTTCTCATTCCTGTTTGTCTATAAAAAGCCCCAAATATTTATTCAAACACACATTTTTAATACTATTGCTATTATTTTTCTATACTATCCCATACAGCTCTACATTTATTATAAAATGGATTTTAAGTATTATTTTACTCATGAAAAATTTGAAAATAAAGAAATTAAATTTTCTACTGATAAAATTTATGATGAGAAGGCATTATGTGTTATTGTAAATGATATATCTAGTGTTTTGAAAATTAATATTGATTTTATCAAAGTAACAATTAAGGGAAATGCAAATAAAAAAGTTTTTTATGCCAAAGCCTGTTCAGATGAAGGTGATGAATATGATGTGATAATAGATATTCAATAAAAATGATAAAGGTAACAAGACTATGGGGGTCACTCAAAACTTTCTGATCAGTTAATATTTTAAAATACAGTTTAATACTTTGAGCTTTTACTAAAACCCCATCGGGATACCTTCCAATTTTCAGTGTAGCACCGAAAATTGGAAGGTATCCCAAATAGGTTTCGGTGAAACATAATTCATCTAATTGCATATAAAGTATTTAATTGAATATTTTATAATTAGTGACATTTAGATTAGTTTATTGCATCAACATCTGAATAGCATGTAAAAGCTTAATAACTGCACAGAGTATAGCTAATTACCTGTTGCTTTTAGAGTTTAAGATGATCACCTAATGTATCCACCACTGTATGTCAATAATGCACTTTCTAATTAATCTATAGAACAATGTCTGAAGCATTAATTAGAAAGTGCATTATAGAAAGCAGTTCCATTCTTGTTTTATGCATTTACTATAGTATTTTTACCTTCACTTGATATTCTTTATTATCTACTGACCTGGCTGTACCATAAACAAGTTTACTACCCCTAATTCTCTCCATGTTCACTTTAATAAAAATAATTATTATGCCTTGGTCATCAGCAATTTCATTTGCTATTTCACACACACTTTTATCATCAACAAGACAGTCAGCTGTAAATGAAATATTATTATCTTCAATCTTTCCATTGTCATAATAACCTAATAATTTAAGACTCATATTAGTATTATAATTCAGTGATACAACTTTATGATAAATGTAGAGATGTGTGGAATAGTATAGAAAAAAATAATAGCAATAGTTTTAAAAATGTGTGTTTGAATGAATACTTAGAGCTTTTTATAGACAAACAGGGATGAGAAATTGAAAGCTAGCAGCTTCAGTCTCATGTAAAATAATGAACTTGCAATCAACTAGCAATTGCCTTCCTTTCTTTATATAATTAATTATGTACTTTTTCCTTTGTTTTAATTCAAATTATTTAAAGGAACATTTTCTTTTTAAGCAATTCACTTTGCTACATTTATTTATTTATTTTTTGTTATTCTTTAAAAAACATTGAGACAGCTGCCTTTCTTTACTTTCTTTTGTTAAAAGGTGATTCTATTTTTAGGGTTTCCTTTATTTCAAAAGAAATAAACTCACCTACAAATCCAACATTGTGTGTACCATTAGCTTTAGCAATTTATTTAAGAAAAACAAGCTGACTTCTATTCTCTGCAGTCAACTAGTAATGGCAGCCATGAATGAATGAGCACTAATTAGATTTCAGTCAACAAATGATGGTATTTAACTATGTGTTTTATATTTAAAAACCATGTTATTATAAACATTATGTGTGTTATTAGCCATAGCTTGCAAGTGTATTGATTTAAATCATTTGTTAAATAATTGACAACAGGAAAGCTCAAAAACAACAAATATAACACAATAGCCTGGTTTTGTGTTTGAACATAATTTTGTTGGTGTGTACACCAACACTGACACTGCTACTCTGCTGGAAGTGCTGACTGAGTCCCCATATGTTACCCCTCTTGTGGAACCAGCAAGCAATCAGATGTCACTGATCATCAACCCTGGAATTCCTCTGGCAGATCTGGGGATACCCTGCATGGTCTGCACAAATAGACCACCCCCAGACCATGAATGCTGCCCATTTTTAGTTCTCTGGTCTGCTGTTGTAATTTCTGTTGTCTGCAACAAATTGGTCTCTTACACTGGATCAGCAACTATTTAAGTCACTGGATCCTGGCTATTCTAGTGTGGAAACAGGGCCTGTTTTCTGTGTTCTGACTTTTTCTCTGTTTCTGGTTTTATCGTATAAAACAATACATATTTATTATTACTTTTATACAAACTCTGTCTATTTCTAACGGCACTGCCAATTATCTTCTGCTTCTCTCTGTCGCCATGTGTTGTCATAAGCCCCGACAACTATTTTTAGTGTTACAGTCTTAATAGTTATCAACTTGTTCAATAAAATAAATAAATAAATAATATCGGAAGTGTTTCAAGTACTATAAATTCAGAGTTTTATGTCAAATATTTGTTCTGAGTTTAACCAAAAAACATTACTAGTAAAACAACTATTTTATCTATGTTGTCCTGTGGCTACCACATCAGGTGGTCTATTCCGTGCATCCTCCAAGCGTTGTTGGTTTTTTCTGTTGATGTCCATGACATCAGAAGCGTGAATTGGGTTGAAAAACCCAGAGAAATAAGCTTAATTGGGGGTCTAGCTCAAATGGGAGAGCGCTCGCTTAGCATGCGAGAGGCACTGGGATCGATACCCAGGTCCTCCAGAATCTACTTTTTGCAAACCATCTGTTTGGTAGATGAATGTAGCTCAAGTACTTTTTTTGCGTTCTGAAATTAGCCAGTTGTTTAACAACTTTCTTATCTTTATTTCATTTTTCTACATTTATATTTTTTTATGTCATCTAAAGCGGCCACACCGAACACTTTTTCTTCGCATGGTACAGCTCAAGACGTTTGGGACCAGCTGTTTCCTGTGTCAGAGGACATTGTTCTGAGGGCTAGTGTTGGTTCAATTCAAGAAGCGTGTTCAGGCTTTTGGACCCAGACGCTGGTTCCAGAGATACCTGGCGCTGTCTTTGAAGATATTGTTCAGACGCAGAAACCGCAGAGAAGTTTGAGCATAACAGACAAAGAGATTGGTGGTGGTCTTGCTTTCTCAAAGCCGAGTAATTTGCAATTTGCGCATCTTCGGGAAGGCTCGCAATTGGGAGCTCGAAGAAATGCGTCTCTTCGTAATCTGGCGTTGCTGGCGCATAGCGGATCGGAAAACGAGCAGATTGGTAGTAGCCAGCAGCAGTTGGCTATGGAGACGCCAGCACAATTTCTCGAGTGGTTCGACACTATTGAAAGACAGGTGGCCGAGGGGCAGGACCAAGAGGCGTTGTCATATGCCGAGCACTTGCAGCACCGCACGGCCCAGTGCAACGACATGCAGCGCTGCGTAGAAGAGATTCAGCAGGTACTCAAACGAATGGAGGCAGCATATACCCATGTGCGCAAGCAAACAGCTGGCGTTCAGTCGGCCAGTGCTGAGCTTCAGTCAAGGCGAGACAAGCTGAGCGACGCCAGTCAGCAAATACAAGCGCAGTTGGATATTTACAATTCGCTTGGAGCTATCACGCAGCTTTTCAACTCGCCGGGCGATTCTGTTTGTCTCGATCCAGGCTTTTTGCCAGCTCTTGAAAGCGCCGAACGCGCTATCGGATTTATTGAAGAGCACCCGGATGGAAGAGATAGCGAGCTGTATCTTATGCGGTTTTCTCAGTGTAGGATGCGTGCGCTGACCCTGATCAAGCTCCATGCGCTTCGCATTTTCAAAACCATTGGTTCCGAGATTGCCTCTTCGGGGGCTGACTCGAAAGCCCTGTACGTGCGCTTCCGCGCGCCAGTTGCTCGCTTGGCGCCTTTGATCAGTGCGCTTCAGCAACGAGCAGAAGCAATAGTAGAGGCGGCAGAAACAGCGTCATCGGACACAGGTGGCACCGAGGCTGCTATTCTGAGTGATGTGCAAAATGCCTACTTTGGCGTTAGAAAAATATGGCTGCGTCCTTATATCCAGGGCCATCTAAAGCAAATTTCTAACGAGCACCAGGGTTTGGCACCCGATTCGCCAGTGGCTCGTGTGGATGCGCTGCGCGACTGGTGTGCCTTTGTTATGAACGTTTGCGCAGACGAAGGCCGTATCTATCGCGACTTTTTCACTGATTCCAAGCCAATGCCTCCAGAGCTGCGTGCATACCTAGAGTCTATAATGACTATTTTCCACGAGCACGTGCGTCCGCTTATTATCCACGAAGCAGATGTCGGGATACTAGCCGAGCTGAGCATGATATTGTTGACCTATCGCCGACCGATGACTCCAGAGGCCGGGTTGATGTCTGGTTCAGAGAGCGAGGATTTTGCAGACGCAGACGCAGATCCTGATGCTGATGGCCTGGATTCATTTTACAATGTCATCGACCAGATCCTGCAAGACTCGCAGCACCGGCTTGCGTACAAGACACAGGCATTTATCCGCTCAAAGATCGCTTCGTACAAGATTTCCAAAGAGGATACCGAGGCGATGGCCAAGTGGGTGCAGGTCTGCTCGCATCTGCATGTGTCTGACCCAGAGCATTTGATCAAGCTTGTTTCTCAGTCGTCCACAATGGTTGATCTGCAGGACTCGGTAACTGAAGTTTTCAAAGAAAAGCTGCCTTCTACACGGTCATCATCGTTTGTTGAAGTTAGCGCTGCGATTAATGCAAGTCCAGATCCCCTGCTTGAGCTTACCAGCGAGCAGGCGCAGACTCTGCAATGGGTATACCCGCCTGTGAGCAGCTGTCGCTGGCTGATTGCTCAGATCGACGGCTGTCTGGACTACGAGGTTCAGATCGGACTGACTGAAGAGGCGCAGGCTGCTTGCAAGCAGAATCTCCTTGGCCATGCTGCCAGGTTTGTTCGTGACGCCGGCAGCAAAAATTCGCTTTCTGAAGCCGACGCCGAGCAGCAGGCGCACCTGTTTGTGACATTCAACCTGACAAAAATCGATATTTTGCCTTCGCATTACTGATCAAATAAACACGTAATCAAACAATCAAACAATCAAGATAAGCGAAAAAAAAAGCGTACTAAGCATTATTGCACAAAAGAGAAACGTTAAATTCGAAATCAATGTTTTTTCTTTTTTACTTGTTTTTCAAATTCGTCTCACTTTACCTATTTATTATTGAAAAAACATGCTTACTTCTGCTTTCGCTGGTAGAGTTCGTGTTGCGGCGTTCGGCGTCAATCAGCTTCGTCATTTGAGCACACAGCAGAATGTCACTCCGATGCTCGAGGTCGAAACCAGGGTGTTTGGCAAGGCGCCCAAAAGAAGCAAAAAGTTTGCAAAGATGGATAATCTGCGTATCAGAGAACAACTTCGGCGCTTGAAACCCAAACTTGAAGCAACAGGAAGTTTTCAGACGGACCTGATAAGGCCCACCCAAATGCTTGATCATTGCAGCTCAAATCTGACGCTGGAGTCAATGATGGCAGCAGGCATGCACCTGGGTCACTGCGCGTCCTTGTGGAACCCAATGAACCTGCCTTATATTTTTGGTGAACGTGAGGGTATCCATATTATCAATCTGGAACAGACAATGGCAGCTCTGCGCAGAGCTGCTCATTTTGCACGTAGCGTTGCTTATAACGGCGGTCTGGTTCTGTTTGTCGGCTCTCGCAAGGATCATCGGCAAATGGCGGTCGATGCAGCGCTGCATTCCGAGCAGTATTTTGTCACTGGCAAATGGATTCCAGGAACACTTACCAACCCTCGGCCTCTTTTGGGAAAGCATGTCATGTACGTCGAGGATATCTGGGATGTGGAGGAGGCCAGAGAGTTTGCTGATCACAAGCCGCAAAGCACTCCAGAGAAGAGTGGTCGAGGTGGAAACAACAGATATCTAAAGATGATCGAGGAAGAAAAAGCAAAGCTTAAGAAAGAACACGGCGATTTGAAGACCTACAAGCCCGATCTTATTATTGCCCTGAACCCACTGGAATGCAAGACTATGCTTGCGGAAAGCCGCTTGGCTCATGTGCCAACCATTGGCATTGTCGATACCAACTGCGATCCAAGAGCAGTCACCTATCCCATTCCTTGCAACGACGACAGCAATAGAGCCGTTTCCATTGTTGCTGGTGTGCTCGCTAGAGCTGCCAAGGATGGTATGGATCTGCGTCGGGCAAAGCTGAGAAAGGCCGTCGAGGACCACAACAAAATCACCATGGAAATAGCTTCCAGCCAGCAAATCAACCTCAATGAAACAGACGAGGAACTCGAGTAGAAACAATAAAAAATAAAATACACCGATATTAAATGAAACTTTAGTATATTAGAAAAGGAGTAAAAAAAAAGTAAGAAAAATGGCTCTAGATTTCTATCTGGTGTTTCAAGCCTGGTTCTGGATAATACCAGCGTTCTGAAGCTGGTGGTTGACGTTGTTGACAATGTCAGCTCCAGCGTTGTGGACGCCGCCAAATCCATGGGGAGCAGGAGCAGCCCACTCGTCATGGTGAGGCTCGTGCACGGCGACAGGAACGGGTACAGCGTGCTCAACAGGGACTCTGACCGGAACAGGAACAGGAACCGGGCGATCAACGGGCACGGCAACAGGAACTGGGCGGTCAACGGGCACAGGGCGGTCAACCGGCACCTTGACTGGGACAGGAACTGGGCGATCGACCTCAACAGGCACCGGCCGGTCAACAGGAACCGGACGATCGACGGGGACAGGGCGATCGACCTCTACGGGAACAGGGACAGGACGGTCAACGGGCACAGGGCGGTCAACCTCGACAGGCACCGGAACCGGGCGGTCAACGGGCACAGCATGATCAACCTCAACCGGAACAGGGATCTTTTCAACAACCGGCTCAACCACCACTTCGTGAGCATGGTGCTCTGGTGCCCATCCCATGGCACCAGCGGCGGCAGCCTCATGGGACTCGGGTGCCTGACGACGGTAGACAGGAGCAGCTAGAACAGCAGACAGTGCAAGGACGAGGACGGAGAAAGTACGCATTTTTTTGGAGGATATCGGACTATAAAGGTACCAGGTCGCTGGACAGAAGAGATACAGAGAGGGAATGAGCCAGGCGGTGTGCTGTTGTTGATTGGGGTGTTTTTTGTATTTTTCTGGTTTCAAGGATTCCAAACCAATCTGGCTTATTTATACACAGAAATTTTGGTCATCATCTACACGCTATATCAAGCGTTAGCAACATATTTTTTACTTTATGATTTCTAAATGTATTATTAAAGCCAAAGTCTTACAATATCAGTGTTGCATACGCCACTAGTCAATTATCGATAGAAACAACCGAAATACAAGTAAAGACCGTTTGTTATTTCAGTGTATTTTATAGAGGCGGCTTTGCGCTAAACAATAGTAAACAGTCTTGACCTTTGTTTATTCATCCAACACAAACTTTAACAATAGGCTAAAAGAAATATAATTATGCAGTTTTTTTATCAATGGTCTGCTTGTTTGCTTTTTTTTTAGTCAATAGCTCTCCAGTAATTTTTGTGAAGCGATAGATTCGACATCATCGCCGTTTCCCTGCAGAATGTACGAAATCAATTTCCAGCCATCGGGAGGATCGTAGGACTCAAACTGGTCTGGATACGGGCTAGGGTTTAGATCAACAGCGCCGGCTTCAAACCCAATGCCGCCAAAGGCATTTCCAGTGGTCTTGATTCCCTGCGCAATGCAGTTTTCCTTGTACATCTCTGGCATGT